CTTGTCCATTAATAATTCATGATTGATTGTGTCAAATGCTTTTTTTAGGTCAATAAATATTCCCATCGTGTATTTCTTCTCATCCATAGCACTTGTAATGTCCTCCATCAGGTCGGTAATGGCCAAAGATGTCGATCGGTTCGACCTAAAACCATATTGGCAATCAGAGAGGATTTTATGTTTGTAAATAAATGTGTTTAATCTGTTATTAAAGAGTTTTTCCAAGAAGCTTCAAAATCGCTTTTCAAAAACCAGTGGGTGACATCATGGTGGGTTTGTTCATCTTCTGTATACAGTCAGTGGTCAGGCTACAGCGTAGGGTACAAGACTACGCATTACCTACATCGTAGATTAACGCAGAACCATAATTCAAGCTTAAGTTGATGGTATAGGCTACAAAGCATTGCCCTTGTGGCCAAAAGCCAAAGAAATTCTGCTTTAATAGTGTTTTTACATAATTGAGACCTAGTCCTTTAACTGCATAGGAGTGGTTATTATTAAATATTCTGTTCAATGTATGGTTATTCAGCATGTGATTTCTATTTTATGTTTCATGATTTTATTTTTGTCAAAACCTCTTGTCAAGGCTTCACTGAGTCCTAATTTTTGTGTCTTACAGTGTGTGTAAGTCTTTTGTCTACAGCTTTGGAAATTCACCATGCAGCTATTTTAATTGTGTCCTCATTGGAACACAGTGCAAATGAGCCACAAAGACTGCATGCTGCATTTTTGACTAATAGATGCAGCTCTTAAATTTTCTCATGTGGGAAGTTTTGCTTCCTTGTTGTTCTTTGTTATGATCACCACGTCTATTGCTCATCTCACCTGGCACCATTTAGGACTGGCATATCCCCTGTGTGGGTACCCTAATACAACAAATTAGTGTTGCCACATCTTTACCAGCACTAAAAGTTCAAGATGCCCTGTCCTTTTAAGATCTGGGGTATTTCAAGAATTAGAGGGCAGGAAAGTTGCAGACAAGGATGAAAACCTCCAGAGACAAATGAAAGCTGACAGTAGACTGCCTCAATTTCTAGGCATTGACCTGTCGGCCAATCAGGATGAGGAGGGGGATCAGGAGGTCTTCCAGTTGGAGATGAGCCGTGAGGACAGGAAATGTGCCTTTAGAACTGCTGCTGGAAAATACTGGACCCTGGCAGCAACTGGAGGACTGCAGTGCACTGCCTCCACCAAGTAACCTCCCTCACACACTACAATGCATCACACATGATTTTATACATGACCTTTACAGTTGCTCATTGAGCTCCCTCTTATGTGTGTCAAAGGTCTGCCAACAGTTACTTTGAACTGGAGTGGCGTGATGGACGAGTGTGTGTTCGTGCAGCCAATGGCAAATATGTTACCGCCAAGAAGAACGGACAGCTAGCTGCTATTGTCGACAATGCAGGTATGTGATATTTCTGAATAAGAAGCAGGAAGAGGTAATGGAAAGTAACTAACTACACTTCCTCTCAATAGTATAACCAAGTAGTTTTCATGTGCATGTACTCTGAGTACAGTTTAAGTTGCAACAAGGTTCTGTTTTAAGGTCAAGTGTCAGTACTTCTTCACTATCTCAGTACTCTCCATCCCTGAAGAGAAGGAATAACAGACCAGGGACCCTGTTTCCCAAATGCATCTTATACTGTATACTTATAGACTAGAATTAGCTTGTCAATTTGCTTTTGGGATACGGGGTCCAGATCTTTTTGGCTCAAGGCTAACCAGGCTGTCTCTTCAGGGGAGGCCGAACAGTTTCTGATGAAGCTCATCAATCGTCCACTCATTGTCCTTCGGGGGGAGCATGGTTTCATTGGAGCCCGTAAACCTGGAATGGCAACCCTGGACTCCAACAGAGCATCCTACGATGTTTTCCAGCTGGAGTTCCACAACGGAGCATACGCCCTTAAAGGTGGGCATCTATTATAGAAAACAAATTAATGATAATAGCTTTATATAACGGATGTGATGTTCTTGCATATTTTATTAATTTACAAGTATAAATAAATCAAAGCTCAAAGTAAGGCTTGAGACCAGGTGTCACAGTGTTTTTTAACACCAGCACTTTCCAAAGTCACAAATATATTGTTACCTTATGTTTGCATTGACTGATTTTCTAGGCCACTTAGAACAGTAGAAAGGCAATAAACATATTAACATATATAAAGATGATCTGGTGAAATTGATAGAAAATAGGTGCTATTACACATCCAGCAAACGCAGCATTAACATTCATTTGGAGTCGTGTTTCACTCTCCTTTTAGCTCAGTATTTGGCCTCCACCAACTCCTGATGGAAATATCGCCCTCTTTAGCTGCTAAATGTTCCACTTCTTTTACCAGCAACATTCTAACCTCTTCTGTCTACAGTGGGTTTATCTGAGCTTTTTTTTTTTTTTGCTGAAAACAGTTGCTTGCTGCTTCTGGAAACAAAGGCAATCGAGACAGTGAGCATGAAGATGATAAACTGCTCCAGAGATGGCAGAAACCTCAGACTGGGGTGATACTGTGCAAAAGTCTGAGGCCAACATTAGATTGGTTGTTTTATAAATGTTATGATGAATATATATTTATTTATTTATCAGAATAGTACTAGAAAATATAGGAAATATGTACACAGTATTAAAAACACAGAAATGCCATGAAAAAAATCAGCAAACAAACTGGATACTCGAGATGTGGTGTTCAAGGTGTTCTAAAGAAATATGAAGAATCCAGAGAGGTCAAAGACAAAAACAGGAGCAGAAGAGAACTGTCAAAATCTGATGAGAAGTTTCTCAGAGTTTCTTCTTTGAGAGAGCAGAGGAAATCCAGCGAGGACCTGGCTCAGCATCTGCAGCTGGATACCAAGTTGATCCTTCCACAGTCCGAAGAAGCCTGATCAGGAACGGCCTTCGTGCAAGGACAGCAGCCAAGAAACCACTTTGTCAGAAGGGGGCAGGGAGAAAAGGCTGAGATATGAGTTGGCACAGAGTGGAGTGAAGATGAGTGGAAAAGAGTTTTATGGAGCGATGAACTGAAGTGTGACATTTTCAGGTCCAGTTATCAACACTACGTGAGATGAAGGGTTGGAGAGAGGTGGAAGAACTAGTGCTTGCAGCCTTCACTGAAACATGGTGGAGGGTCTGTCATGGTTTCAAGACTTCAAGACAGTCTCCCCAAAAGAATATAAGCTGTGCTAAGTGCAAAGGGAGGGCGTACTGAATACCCACTTTGGACTGGAGAAGCCATTTTGTCCTGAAAATGTTGTGTTTTATGTGTAAAACAACAAAACTAATGGTGGCCTAAGTCTTTTGCACAGTACTGTAGCTGGGTTTGTCAACACAAATGACACCTTTCATACCATACACATAGTAAAAATATACATTTGCACATCTTTAATTGTGGAAGTATTATGACATTAAAGGATTTTTATTTTTAGCTCTCCCAGCAGAAATGAAATTTTCAAATCCCTCCTGTGGTGATTTAAATTCATTCATTCCCACACCTTCCACAGAGCCAGTATCAGTGTAAAGATTTTTTTGCAACTGTTCCATCACAGTAAACAGCTTTAGTGTTCTGTTAAACAGTACATTTTAATTGCATGGTCCTGCAGATGAAACTGCACTTTGACTTGCAGGTGGGAAGCTCGGACATCTGAAACCCAAGAGTCAACTGAAGCCTCTGTTAATACAGAACATCAGATTCATGTTCATCTTTGCACTCATGTCCTGTGGGTTTGATTGTGAATGTAGGACAGTACATCTTTTGAATGTGGTGTGTTTGATGAGAGCTTTTAAAATAGTGCACACGCTGTTAAACTCGACTGTCAGTGTGAAAGTCAAAGTCAATATTTAAAATGCTTAATGGGAATTATATTACTCATATATGGGTCAACAGCTGTCAGTCATCTGAAACCTTTCATTATCCCAACCAGTGCACCTACCTCGGCCTGAACAATGAGTCAATATGATTTATTGTCTTTCATCTCCATAATGAAATTGTGATATTGTAATGTTGAAAAGAACATTTTGTCCCAAAACATTTGAAGCTTTTCTTGTCACCATTAGTTTTAGGATACCCACCAACCTTGACCTTAATTGCACTGAGCTTTAACAAGTGATTCCACATCCAGCGCTGTAGCTACTGTGTGTGAGCCAGGCTTCATTAAGTATTTGTTGTGTGTCCAGACTCCCAGGGGAAGTATTGGTGTGTCGCAGATGACATGGCGGTGGTGTGCGGCAACTCCACACCTGTCCCATTCCTCTTCGAGTTCTGTGACCTCAACAAAATGGCCATTCGTGCTCTTGGGGGGAAATACCTTAAAGGAGACCATGCTGGAGGGTTAAAGGCCAGTGTCGACTCCCTGGACAGCGCCACCCTCTGGGAATACTGAGAAAGCACAGCTGGACGTCACCACTATGTGACACAACGCTTCAAACTATTGGTAGTGGTAGATGTTTTGTTTGTTTGTTTTTTGCAAATGTGAGCTTGCCTGTGTGTGTGTTGTTGTGAATTTGTCTGAATGGATGTATGGTGGAAACTGATAAATTGGCAGTCACGGCCTCAAAACACTGCAGGTGTTTTGTTTTTTTCTATTTTTATTTCTTAATCATTATCTCTTCTTACTGGGCTTTTTACTGGATATTTGAATTTACAATACTGCTGTTTCATGAACAGTGTTGCTGTACACTATATGTTTTGCTTCCGGTCAAAGTTACACAAGCTGTACCTGATAAATGCCACAATGCTTGCTGTTATTAGTAGTGCCTATCTGTGGTAACTACTGGTGTTTTGAACATGTAGAATGGTATAAATCATAACTTTCAGTATCTAACCTTCTCCTGTTAAGTGTCCTGCTTGCTCCATTGCACTGCTTTCACCTCCTGTTCTCTTTCAAACTATAAAGCATAACTGACATTAGATAAAGAGATGTAACAAATTGACGTGTTTCTGCTGTAAATGCTTTTTTGTCACAGGGTCTTTCAACATAATAACCAGGGTAACTTTAAATGTGACTGTGTGCTGAGGCTGTAAAAAAACAAGTGGGACCTGGCTGGCAGATTTGTTTCACCTGTGCACTCTCCAGTTTCCCTTCCTGGTTCCTCTCCAGAGAGTAGTTCATCAGATAAATCAAAGGTTTTCAGTTATGCTCCAAGAGAAAACCAGAGGTGAAATATACTCCACTAACCCTAACCAGAGGTGGTTAAAAAGAGCATCGAAAGGAGCCTCCTTAGCAGAATGATCATTTTTACTGTTAAAAGAAGTGGAAGGGAGGCGATGAGTAGGACCTAGTTACCACACTACGCAATAAAATGCATGTACATACATAAAAATATAGTCATACACACAAAAATTCCAACTGTGAAATGTCAGTGACTCAAACTGCACAATGCTGTAATGTCCAAATGCAAAAAGGTAAAAGCACATGTCTTTGATGAAATGTCTGCCTTAGATTTGGTGCTGCTGCTGGTGTGTTAACACAAAGACATAGTCAGTCATGTCTCTGACTATTATTGTGGCTGTGCCTTCCATAGAGCATTCAGTCTTTTCTTTTTCATGTTCTCTGAACTGAACTGAATAAACACCTTAATAAAGTTTTCCCTCTTAATGTAAGTGTGACCTTCCTCTTCAGTTTTTTTTTTCCTATTTAAAGGATTAATGCCTTTCTCTCCTGCCTCTGTGCAAATAGTTTTTCCAGGTTTTGATAAATGGATATTCGAAAAACTATGGAAGCCCATTCCCGCCAGTTAAATGAGAAATAAAACGCTCTAAGTCGTTATTTCTACTTAGCTAAGTAGAAATTCCGACATATCTAAGTCGGAATTCCGACTTAGATATGTCGGAATTTCTACTTAGCTAAGTAGAAATTCCGACATATCTAAGTCGGAATTCCGACTTAGATATGTCGGAATTTCTACTTAGCTAAGTAGAAATTCCGACATATCTAAGTCGGAATTCCGACTTAGATATGTCGGAATTTCTACTTAGCTAAGTAGAAATTCCGACATATCTAAGTCGGAATTCCGACTTAGATATGTCGGAATTTCTACTTAGCTAAGTAGAAATTCCGACATATCTAAGTCGGAATTCCGACTTACACTTCCCTACGTCGTAATTTCGACTTAGCTAAGTAGAAATAACGACTTAGAGCGTTTTATTTCTCATTTAACTGGCGGGAATGGGCTTCCATAAAAAACCTTTCTGTCAACAGTTTTTATTGGATTTATTTTCTACCAAAGATGTAGAATCTTTGACCATGTAATTATCCAAACTTTTGGGTCCACTCATTCTAGAAGGACACATTGTGCTTGGTTTTTACATTGTATTAATGGAGGCACCACAAGCAAAATTCAGTTTAACTCTATGTATTGGAGTTGTTGCAAAAATATTAGACAAATATCATGGCTATGAATATGGTTTATAGCCACACTGGTGGCATGGCTCTGGGGATAGTAATGTCAGTCTGCAAACTACTGCCTCTGATAATCATCTGATGTTTCATGAGGTGCCACTGTAACTTGACATTTGTGGTTTTGAGTGAAATATTTTGAAAACTTGCCATGAAATCTCTAAACTGAAGCAGTGCTATAGCCCCATTTATAAAGGAAAGAACATTGACACCAGCTGGTACAATGGTGTGGGTTTTTTTGTTTTAAATGTTTTCAGACGACAGCGGTGTCAGGTTTGCCCAGCTCCACCTTCCTCTCTTCTCTTAGTATAAGTTATTGGTGGATTTGTTTTTTCATGGGATTTTTAGGTCATAAAAATATTAACTATTTCTCGTTGCCCTGTTAAATCCTAGAGGTCACTAAAACAGTGTGCCCATTTCACTAGACATGTCACTGTTATTTAAACATGGTAACAATCTTGTTCTGATAAGAATATCAGTTGTTATGATTTTTGCAAAAGCTGTTGTGTGTGGGAGAAGGAAGAAAGAGCCTGAATCATGTCCCACTGAGATTTCACTGAGCCAAAATAGTACAAGAGAAAGGAAGGCAGGGAGGTGACCCACTCTACTTTCTCTGTCCTTCTGCAGAGGAAATACAACTTTCCTCCTCTTAGTCATTCCTACAGTACATGCTTGACTTTACATGTGTGTTCTTACAGACACAGACAGGAACAGACCAACAAACATCCTTCACTCTCCACTGCAGGAGATCTGCATGTTGCCATGGTAACGGGTAATAGCAAGGATGGAACCTGAGGAGGATGAATGTTCAGAGACATAACACACACACACAAAAAGATCAATCGTTTTAATAAACCTATTAATTCTCAGAGTCACATAGCTAAGTATGTAGCCTCTCCGGTAGTGACTGAAAGAAGACTTTTAATAAAAGGATTGCAAATAAAAAGATGAGCACAAACGTGTATTAGTCCCTGAATGAATCAGAGCTTCCACTGTGCTCACATTAATACCACTTAATATCACTGTCATTATTTTGAGTCAGTCTGTGTTTGTGTACTGTGTGTGTAAGAGAAAACACAGGTCTCACCCAGTCTGCCTTCCAGACAAAGCTAATATGGCAAGTACATAAGGCGAGACAGACAAAGCAGGAAATGAATGGAATGGAGGATAAAAGGAGTGGATGTGCAACCACTGGGCGTATAGCAGGTTGTTTTTTTAGTTTATGAATGACAGAGGAGAGACCTGAGTCAGTCAGGATTATGAGTCTCTGAAACAGCTTGAGTCAGTCAGGATTATGAGTCTCTGATACAGCTGAAACACAGAAAGAAGACGAGCCTAGTCATACTCTTCCTTGTGAAATTGTATGAATGTCACAGTCTATTGAAAAACCATGTATGCATTTCCAGAGTAGGCAGGTCAGAAAAAGATTTTAGACAAATTACTCTTTACAGGGTCAGGTATGAATTTTACTGCTCACAACCAAAACAGGTTGGCTACTATTTCTGTCACTCAGTAACACACACGCACCATATAGTGATGGGTGACAAATTAAAGGAATATCCTGAATAAATGAGTGTGGGAAAATGCAGGGGTCACTAACTGATCTGCTGATTATTTTCCTGACTCTTTGACTTATCTTTTTATTCTCTTTCAAAAAACTGGGACAAATGTCAGTCTGCTGCCATCTAGTGCAGATAATGTGAAGATGATTTGATTTTATTAGCCTGTACTGGCCAAAAGTATGTCAGCATCTTTGCTTTTCATGGTTAAGACTCTTCCTAATAAGGAAAATATTACTGACAGTGAATACAATATTGGTAATGTGCTTCCAATTTTGTGGAACTTGCAACTTTGTTTGGTGTGTGCCCCTTTCTGTTTCAACATAACAAAGTCACATCCATTAAAAAACAGCTTTCCCAGTGTTTGGTGTGGAGAAACATGACTCACCTGCACTGGACCCTGCCTTCAACCCCATCCACCACACCATCTTTTTGGTGAACTGGACCAACATCCTATCACCCAATATCAGTGGCTGACATGAGATTAAATCCCTCCTGTCGGCTTCCAGAATCTCATAAGAATCATTCTCAGAGGAGTGGAGACAGATGTAGCTGGTTTGGGAAGGAAAGTCTCAACAATTAAACTTTGGTGTGATAGTTAGGTGCCTATATAGTGGGTCTCATATCAGATAACGACGAGACTCACTACAGAAAGGAGACCCAGCACCTGACCGAGTGGTGTTCAGACAACAACCTGGTCCTGAACACTAGCAAAACTAAGGAGGTCATTGTTGACTACAGGAGACCCAGGAAGATGACTCATGCTCCACTCCTCATATATGAGGATCAAGTTGAGAACATCAAGTTCCTGGGTATTCACATTACCACTGACCTCACATGGCCAAAGCCCAGCAAAGGCTTTTTTTTTCCTCAGGAGGCTCAGATGGGCTGGACTCCACTCTCAGTTGCTGACAAACTTCTATAGAACACCCCCCCACACACACACACACATACACACACTTTGTACTGTCCAGACTTTAAATGCTGTCTGCATTTTAAATTTATATATTATTTTATTGTATGTTTTATTGACTGTATCTCTTAAATGTTTTAATTACCAAACAGAATTTCATTATGTGACTGCTGACCGCTGATTGCATAATGACAATAAAAAAATCTTAATCTTGATCTTGATATACTTTTGGCCATGTAGTGTAGATTTAATAGTTTAATCTTCTCCTGATTTTACTGTTGAGAAATCACCTTCTGAGAAACAGATGCATGAAAAGTGCATGCCTTGCACTTATTTAAGCTGTATTTGCTCCCCTGTATTAAACGGGAAATACTGACTTTCTTCAAGGGCAAAGATACGAGATAGAACTAATACACACCCCACAAATGCATAAATACACACAGACAAATTATCACAGTATCTGTTTACCCACTGATAGCCACATCCAGCCTGATAGTAAGAGTCAGCAAGACACAGAGAAGGAGAGTTGTTTTCTGTATCTTATAATAATAATAATATGTTTCAGGAGGTTGTCTAAAACACTGTTGATGGCCTCATACAATTCATAATCCCACTCTTACTGCCCATCTGTTGTGCTATCAGTCTGTTTGGCTTTACCACACCACTAAGTGCTTCTCCAGAAATCCATGTAGGTGTGGTCCACTCAACCTGTAATCATCAGGCCACTGAAATTCTCCAGAAGATTAATCGACTCACAAATGCTTAAAAACTTCAGACCGAAACTAAAATTACACCATAGTAAAACTTCATTCCAGTGTCTTTAAAAGTTTGCAGCTCATGTGTTTGTGTTTTTATCCAACAGCAAGCCTTTGGAGAGTTAAAGCCAAACCTTCCCTGACTACTACTACTACTACTTACGGCTGTTTCCATTAGGGGTCGCCACAGCGAATCCCATTCGCATGAGTAATTTGGCACGTTTTCATGCTGGATGCCCTTCCTGACACAACACTCTCTATTTATCTGGGCTTGGGAGCAGCACAGAAGTCACTGATGTGAAACCCCTGTGGCTAGATACACAACCTTCCCTGACTCATATCTGGTGTAAATATGTTTACATGTGCCTGTATCTTGGTTGTGTGCACAAATGACCATCACTTTATGACTGCCAGACAACAGGCTGCGACTTCCTGGAAACACTTTAATAAAACCATGTAAGGATAATGAACCAAGAGCAAAACCAATAAGACAAATGAACACACATACACACAAAGCAAAACAAAGTTGTGATAACACAAAAGAGCTCACCATGATTGAAAATTACTTGTAGGTCACTTATGAATTCCATAAGTACAATTATAAGGTAAATTGTATACTTTTTAATTCACTACCTTCATAATTTGAGATCATCCAAGGTAACTCATTTTGTTGAATTCAGGTTGATACTAAAGGTTTTGGGAAACAGCGCTCTGGGGCAGTGTTTCAAGCTTTGGCTTTATTATTTTATTTCAGCTATAATGTTAGAAACTTTATAAGTGTTTATGCATCTTAACATAACATTGTTTCCCAGAACATGGTGATTATTTTCGCCTGCTGTTCTAATGCAACCTTATTGCCTTGGTCTCTTAAAAAGATGTTTTAAATGAAGGAAATCATGCAATACATGTACTGTATCACCAACTGGGGCCATGTGAAATCTTGCTTGATATAATTTTGCTGATAGTTTTACTGCTGGCACTTTTACTTGAATAAAATCTGAATAGGATGTATATCTCTCACCACTAGGCTGAGTTAGATTAGTTCTTTCTGGGCTTAATCCTAATCACATAGCAAGTTTGCTTTTTCATATGACTTCCACGTTTCTAAGCAAGCTAATGCTGCCTACAGATCCAGTGTCCGTTTAATATTACTGGTGATTGTTGATATATCAGTAGAAAAATGACTCATTTCCAGACTGCTAAATGACAGTGCACTACCTGTAGTCTCAGCTTGATACAGTGCTGGAGCCCATGTTTCACCTCACACCACAGAGAGAGGCAGAGAGGGGTGTCATTGGTGGAGAGTAGAGGAGGTCAGCCTATAAATACGCACAATGAAACCCGAAGGAAAGGACTCAGTGTTGGGCTACAGTGATCAGCTAATCATGTCTCTAACAGGGCGACCGAACACAGTTCGGCTGGTGTTCCTCGGAGCAGCGAGGGTCGGGAAGAGCGCGCTTATCCGCCGTTTCCTCCATGACCGTTTCGAGCACAAGTACACGCGCACAGTGGAGGAGCTTCATGTGCTCGAATACGACGCTGCGGGATCAGGAAAGATGCGTCTGGAGATCTTGGATACGAGCGGAAGCTACTCCTTCCCGGCCATGCGGGAGCTCTGCATCCGGCACAGTGATGCATTCGCCTTGGTGTACGCAGTGGACGACCCGGGGTCATTCGAGGAGGTGCGACGGCTCCGCGACGAGATTCTGGAGCTGAGGGGCGGCAAGAGCGTGCCAATCACCGTAGTTGGCAGCAAAGCAGATCTGACCGAGGCTGAAGGCCGCGAGCTGCTGGCTGGTGATGCCATGGCCACGGTGGAGGGGGAGTGGAACGCCAACTTCGTGGAGGCGTCCGCGCGCACAGGTGAAAACACGGTCGGAGTTTTCCACGCATTGCTCCAAGAGGTGAACGTGCCCCATCGGCTGAGCCTTACGGTGGGGAAGCGCAGAAACACTGATCCTAGACCTGCAGTAAAGAAGAGACCACCACTGAAGAAGCACAAGAGCTGTATCTTGTCATAGGGGCAATAGTCGAAGATGGACTCTGCAGCTGGACTGCTGGTTTTTAGGTGTTGCTGGTCATCACAGTGCTTTACCCTGTCCCAGAAGTGGGAAGGTCCTCAATAAAATGTCTCTTTAAGTCTCGACAGGATGATTTAATTGGACCATTGGTTTATAGTCTATGGGACGCACTTTATATGTTTTGTGTAGCTTGTTTTAAATGTTGTCAATAAAATTTATTTTTGTCTGCAGCGTTATAAATCTTCAGTCTACTAAGCCTCAGTTTTAAAAAAAAAAAACGTGCATCTGTCACTTTCGACTGTTCCCGTCAGGGGTCGCCACAGCGAACTGCCACACTGATGATTCACATATTGATATTTGGTACGTGTTTTACACCGGATGCCCTTCCTGACGCAACCCTGAATCGAACCCAGGCTGCAGCGGCGAGAGCTCAGAATACTAGCCATTAGTCTTGTTTAATTTTTTTTAAGAACACGTATGAATGCAGAAAATAAAAGTATACTCAGCAGTCCCTGTTAAAGATACAATACCTTTACTGATTTCGAACATGAATTTGCTAAAGAAGAAATTATTGTCCAAATTAATCTCATTTTCAACTCATCCTTTTGAGTTTGTTAAGACAGACCTGTCGTTGCACTAGCAAGTGTTTAAAAACACTTTTCTCAATAATTCCCAGAGCAGATACAAAATTTACAAATGGACATTTTAAAATTGCCACCATGGGGCAATAAATAAATCCACACACTTCATCATTCTTGTAATGATGAATGTCAGCTTCCATTATTAGCCTAGGGGCGATGCATGAATATTTAACTGTGCTTCATAAAACAATGCCCCTTCTTGCATAAGGACATGTTTTGCTGTTTTGGACATGGAACAAAGGATTAATAAATCCATAGATCTCATGGTCATCATCTCCCCATCCACTTATTCTCTTATCTTCCCACTTATCTCAATGTTAGTAATATAATGAGATACTAAAAATTAATTTAGAAGTATGTACTGTGTATAAAGAATAGGTTTTAGGAACAATCCTGCTGCACATAGACCATTATGGTTTGTATTTCACCTTGGTTTTACTGCATGGAGCTGTACAGTATTAGACCAGAGGTCTCTCCTAGTCATTGAAGATATACAGCTTATCCTATGATTTATTTGGTGCTATGCTGATATACAATAATACATACAATGTGTTATGTACAATAAAGCAGCATATATACAGTGTGATGCAATATAGCAGTTACACAAGAAACAAAGAAAACTCAAAAGCATGTTACTTTGGTGAAACCTCTGTTAAAGGCTGGTTCAAAACAAGTATTCACTAACTGTTCTAATTTATTTCTGTGTCATGTTTGAAAACCTCACATAAGATCATATTAATATATCATATTATAGCTGTAAGGCTGCAAATATTTATTTTCAATGTCAACACACCACATTTAGTGCGTAAAATGTAGGAAGCAAATCTGGTTATTAAAGACTACACACTGACTACATTTTCCGTCAGTACTATGTTCTGGAAACCTTCGAGTGACGTATATCAGACTTCAGCCAATCACACCGCAGAATATGCCTTTCTCGGGCTGCGATTGGGTTTTTTTTTCACCAATCTTCCCACGATGCTTTGCTACACCGCTTTGGAATTCAAATGGAGCGGACCAATCAGTGAGCGCCATAACGACTGAGGCAGCATTTAAACTTGTACTAGACTGTTGTTAAAAGGCAGAACGGGGGATGTGTAGCAGCTATCGGGGGACCTGTCTGGAGATTAATTTCACGTATACCTCGCTTTTTTTTGTAATCTTCGGATTCTTGTGCACTACATTTTTATTGTTGAATCATATGCCTGAATAACGGTCGCGTTTAAAGGTGATTATCGTTAGTTTTGATTTGAATCCAGAAGTGTATGGAAGCAACCTAGCTTCCAGGGCTAAACTAAGGTCGTAGGGTTCGTAGCAGCTATCGTCGATTCCTCGACTACTGGGGAGTTTTAAACGTTTCTTATTATTTTTTTTAAATACCACGAAGAACACTTAAATCCGAAATGAGTGCAGGTGTTCAAAAGCCGGCGAATCCGTCGCCACATGTCGACTCGAAATCGGCTCCTCTCAAAGAAATCCCAGATGTTCTGTTTGACTCACGCACCACGACAAGATACACGAGGGGGAGATTCCTCGGAAAAGGTGGTTTCGCCAAGTGCTTCGAAATCACAGATGTGGAGACGAAACAGGTTTTCGCCGGAAAAATCGTGCCGAAGTCGCTGATCCTGAAGCAACACCAGAGGGAGAAGATGACTTCGGAAATCACAATTCATAAGACTCTGAGCCATCCGAACATCGTGGGATTCCACGGGTTTTTCGAAGACGACGACTTTGTATTTGTTGTCCTGGAAATCTGCAGGAGAAGGGTGAGTGTGGATGAAAATAATGGTTGCATACTATCTGTCTAGTGAGCACATTTCCAGGGCCAACGGTTGTCTTGGCGGCCTCTTCCGTTCTCCTCCCTGTCCCAGTAGAGCTAGCTTTAACTGTGAGGAAAGCCAAGTAAAATGTGAACATGCAAGGTTACACATCAAACTAGGCCTGAAATGCAAAACTGCTTACTTATTTTTTGTATACCTGGCCACCTCCCAAGTATTAACTTTGAATTCCTTGTTATTTCACCCTTCACCCCTCTCAAGGCTTCATTAGGCCAAAGTGACCTTTTTAAAGTCACAAAGCAAGAGACTAAGGGCAACAGACTTGGTATAAAGTGTTGTGTTTTTATTCAGGCTGTTGATTATATGTCTACTAACCTGATGATGGTTTTTTTTTTCCCAATTTCAGTCCTTGTTGGAGCTGCATAAGCGTCGCAAAGCTGTGACTGAACCAGAGGCTCGCTATTACATGACACAGCTGCTCAGGGGGGTCCAGTACCTGCATAACAACAAAGTCATCCACAGAGACCTGAAACTAGGCAACATCTTCCTCAATGATGATATGGAGGTCAAGATAGGTAAAGTTCACTGTTAGATTGCAAAGGATTTATTTCTCTTTATGCTAAATAAATGCAAGTAACTAACTTGGCAGTCTGGTAAAAAAGCAACGGGACACACCCTGGTCCTTCCACCAGAAATGCATCATGCTTCCTGAATAAGTTGTTTCCACTGACTGGTGAAGACCAGATTCACTAACAAACAGCACATTTAAGAACATTGTGTCCTGACAATGTACAGAGTCCACGTTTTTTGTCTGCTGCTTTACAGAAGCTTGTGTTTTTCTTCACTAGGGGACTTTGGCCTGGCCACTAAGATTGAGTTTGATGGCGAGAGAAAGAAGACCTTGTGTGGAACGCCCAACTACATTGCACCTGAAGTGCTTTGCAAGAAAGGCCACAGCTATGAAGTAGATGTGTGGTCACTTGGTTGTATATTGTAAGTTTGAAAACGCACACATCTGGGAATGGCACTAGTCCACATGATTCACACAGTCACCTCAATCCCCTCCCTGCTTCTCAGGTACACATTGTTGGTGGGTAAGCCCCCATTTGAGACCTCCTGTTTGAAGGAGACCTACAACCGCATAAAGAAAAACAGCTACACCATCCCCTGGGTAAGTTGGAATAATGTAGCACACAGTGTATTTTACACTTCTAGTTTACCCCTCACACTTCTTAACCTGAATTTACATATTCTCTGCAGCACGTCAACCCGGCTGCATCCGCCCTCATCAAGCGAATGCTGCATGCTGATCCCGCCCAGAGGCCGACCATCGCCGAGCTGCAAACGGATGAGTTCTTTACATCTGGCTACATCCCCACACGTTTGCCCACTACTTGCCTCACTGTGCCCCCACGCTTTTCAATTGCCCCCTCCACAGCTGCAGAGCTCAGCCAGAGGCGCCCACTGACTGCTATTAACAACAAGGGTAATGGACCTGGAACTACATGGCCGATTAAACCTTAGTCTTCAGATTATTAAAATACTGCTGAAATATTGTGACTGCACAGGACACAGGCAGTTCTTTTAAGTGCATGTAGATTTTCGTTTTGGTGAGAATGATTTGTGTCTTTCTCCAGCAGGGACAGAGAAAGTAGAGGCGAAGGAGGAGCCTGTGCAAAGGTGAGACGTTTTGTATGACAATCAGTCTCGACAAAAAAAAGGAACATCGAAAGAATAGACAAATACTTTTTGTATTTTGTAACGACTTCTAAAATATCACAAAGTGTAAAGCCACCATGTTTTTAGTAAAAAAAAAAATTTTTTTTCCATCTTGGTTGAAGAATGTTGCTTGTGACTCAGGTATCATCATGCACAGTCAAAGGGACTTAACTGGACACTGTTACACAACTCCCTTGTTCACACAAATCACGATTTCGCCTCGTTCGTGGCATTTGAGTGCAAATGTTTGCAAAAACTGCCAACACTAAATAAATTGCATGATTATTCTTGAGATAACCTCTCACACGCTTTTACGAGAGAGTATGTAGACAAATGCTGTGGTTGTGTGTGTGTGTGCGCAGGGATGCTGAGCCGTCAGAGCACCACCTGAAAGACTTGCTGGAGCAGCTCAACAGCGTCATTGCCGCCAAGCCCGCAGAGAAGGCAGTCAGATGCCAAGGTGAGCACATATTCTACAGTTTAGAAGTTTTGGTTTCGTCTTTGAGGTTGTGGTGAGCTTTTTGCTTGTGCCAAGAGTGCACACAACAAAGTTCTGTTTGTGTGTTTGCAGAAGAGGCAGAGGATCCTGCATGTATCCCCATCTTCTGGATCAGCAAATGGGTAGACTACTCCGATAAGTATGGACTAGGTAAGCATTAGACATCTGTTTACCAAATGGTCTCCTACTCTTCTAAGCCGTTGTTGTTCATCAAGTCAGACTGAACAGGTTTTTAATAGTCACTTTTTTTTTATAGACATCAATGGGCACTAATTTGGCAATGTACCGTATAATGTGGGTGTGTGTAATTGACTGATAGAGGATGGCTTCAATGTGAAGGATTGTAAACGGCTGACTTTAAGTGACTGTGTACTTTTTTAGATTTTTTTTCATTTGTTGTATAACAATACAGTTATATTAGATTTTATTTTGTGGGTGGGTAGATAAGTCTCTATAGTTACAGCCAGTAAGTATTGATACATTAAAGTGCAGAAATGTTACTGTTGTAAGACGATCATGCTATTTTATAGTTTGTCCACCAGAGGGCACTGACAAACCTATATTAAACTAACGTCACACACTGTGTTCATCTCAGACACAATCCTCTAAAAACAAATTTAAAATATCGAAGTTCAAGTATGCTGGAATAAAGTAGCACACAATGTCATTGTCAGTTTTTAAGGCCTCTGTATTTCACTTTTTAAACTCGTGATTATTGGCAGCTTCCTCAAAAGTTCAGTATCAGATGGATGTCAACACCATCAGTTTGCAGAGTCCAACTCTTAATGCTGAAATGTTGTGATCAGAGTATATCGTTATGCAGTAGATGTCGACTGTGACAGATGGTACTGTAGCATAGTTCGTGTTTAAGAAAAAAAAAAAAGTGTACTTGGGTGTTGCAGGCTACCAGCTGTGTGACAACAGCGTGGGTGTGCTGTTCAACGATTACACGCGTCTCATCATGTACGCTGATGGAGACAGCCTGCAGTACATCGACAAGGCGGCGGCTGAGTCATACCTCAGCGTGCACTCGTACCCTCATGCTCTCAACAAGAAGGTCAGCAGCTCACTCTGTGAACATGCTTCTCTCTTGTCTCTTGATTTTCAACAAGAAGGTCAGCAGCTCACTCTGCGAACATGCTTCTCTCTTGATTTTAATTTCTCAACTTGATGTGTGTGTGTGTGTGAGAGAGACACACACACATTATAGGGATAATACAGCAGTTGTCTTTATGCCTTTTGTACTTTCTTTTTAAGGCTGATTCCACCTTTTACACTGTCGGTACCTTAACATGGTACTGATTCTCATCATATTAGATTTTTTTTTTTCCTCATTATAGATAACATTGCTGAAATACTTCCGCAATTACATGAGCGAGCACCTGCTGAAGGCCGGCGCCAATGTGGCACGGCGGGAGGGAGACGAGCTGGCACGGCTGCCTTACCTCTCCCTCTGGTTCAGAACAAAGAGCGCCATCGTCCTGCACCTCACCAATGGCACTGTTCAGATCAACTTCTTCCAGGTTAGATACATCTTTTCCTACTTGAACCTCACCCAATTCTTCAGTAGCCCCAACTTTCTTCCATTAGTTGCTAAAGTAAATTTTAGGTTCTCTTGGTATTGACACGTGGTGCACAGATCCTGAACCTGTATTTTCATTATCCCACTCTGTAAGGACCACACCAAGCTGATCCTGTGTCCACTGATGGCTGCGGTGACCTACATCGACGAGAAGAGAGACTTCCACACTTACAAGCTGTCTCTGCTGGAGGAATTTGGCTGCAGTAAGGACCTGGCCAGCCGCCTTCGTTATGCCAAGCTCATGGTCGAGAAACTGCTGGCCAATAAGCCTTCATATTAGACCACCATCCCTCAAAGTCTTCGATCACAGTCTCCATCTTTACTCATGGCCACTCTTTTAGTCTCAACCAGCTTCTCAGGGGACGGGACAGACCCTTAAATTGTTCTGTATTTTATATTTTATGGAAGAGTCACAGTGTAATGATTTGTCATCTTTTGAGGCGTTGACACGTAGCATCCATTTCATATGTTCTACAGGAAGGTTGAATTTCAGTCTCTGCCAGTTTTGATCTTTATTCCTACTGTTGATAGAAAGCCACTCCTCCAGCTATTATCTTAACTTTTTTTTTTGTTATGTAAGATGGCTAGATCACTGATGGCACAAGTTGACCCTGTACGTTCACGCACGTCCAGCACAAAACGATGAATGAAGTTAATTCTCTTAAAAGGTGGAACCTTCTCTGTGCTCATTTGTTTGCATTTGCTCATGTTTTATGAACCTTAAGCCTAAATGTGTGGTGGGGATTGACATTTATATGGGCTGTGTGCATAGAAAAGGTTTCTCTGGTCTGCTTCTCCAGTTTTTATTCATGTTGTATGTAGAGAAATGGACCATGTTAATACGTCTTCGTGTACATTTTCCCTGCAGTTTCACTCGTTATGCATCTTATTTTAAATGTCGTTGTTATTCATCTTATTTCAAATGTCTTGTCATTTTCAACAAGATGTACAAATTTGTACATACCTGTTGTAAAGTTGGTTTCATTTTTACCTGACTTTAAATAAAGACTTTCTTGAAAAAGAATTGCAGGGGTGTAATGTGTCACATTTGTCTTTTCATACTATTGTTGGCACTGAAAAAACGAGCTACATGAACAAATGCTCACTTATTGATGAAAACTATATATAGTAAGCAATGCATTACACATTTACTCTATGGAATGTGCAACTTTGTGTTATAGAATTGAAAGATACATACTTTAAATGTATTTGTTGATATTGGAAAAAAAATCAATGTAATGTTTAGTCCACCCAGACTGTTGACACTTTGGGTTGTCTCAGCAGGAGCACAGGTGTAAAAGCATTAAAACTGACTGCTCTTCATGCACTGTGAATGCTGCCTGCTGTCATGGCTTACAGGGACACTGGCTGTTAGCAAAACTTAAAAGTGAACCAAGTACTGAGAAATGACTGTATCATTTACACTGTAAGTCTGTATTTAGCTGATGTTTGTGTGATTGACTTGAAACAAGTGAAACAGGAGTTTGCTTCCTTTGTGTTCATGCTCTGTGCTTAAGAGCAGGAGATAATCCAGAGCAGGAAGCCTGTACCAGTACATTTAGTTCTATGTTTTAAAGTAATTGTTTATACCTTTAATAAATAAGAAAAGGAATTTCCAAACTGTCAACCACAGAACAGTGAAGAGACAAACTATGATCACCAGATATACAACTGTTTAATGTAGATTATAAAAAAACAACTTTGGCAACACTTCTTTTTCTTTAACTATAACATGTATTCAAGTACACAAAGAACGGTCCAAACAGCAAAAGCAATAAAAGACAGGGAGTCAAAGTCTAAAAGGTCAAAACACGTCCACACCCTCACACGGAGACGTCCAGTGTGTCTTACTAGTGATCTAAAAACATTTCCAAACAGGGAAAACAAGCACTCTCCATTTAACTGTTTAACAGTTGTTGAGATTTGGGGTATGTTTAGTTTACTACGTATAAATTCCCATATTTTAGTGGTTCCAGGGCTTAGAGAGTATCAGTTTCAATAATCTGTGCCCATAAGAGGTGCAATGCATTCAGGATCAGGCAGAATAAATTAATGTGACACTGTAGTATTTTAACAAAGGGAACTTCGATCAATCTATATTTTCAGTTGCACAGTGAGGCCTGACACGTACTGTAGCAGTGCAGAGAAACGTCTCCGTTGTGATGGCCAGTCAACAGCACATCTCGCACGCCCCAGCGAGCAAGCTGCCAGCCTTCGCTCTCAGGAGCCCTCACCATTTCCGAGGCCCCCTGACGCCCAAGCTCCCACACACACATACAGCCGCTCTGACTCAGACCGACCACGCTGGAGCTGTTAACATCGGCCTCGTACAGTCTGCTGAAGGAACGGAGGGTGATGGGAGTGTTAATTACACGGAATTATAAGACGCGTGTCATCATCTGTCAGTCATCAGCTCACCTGCCAGACCAGGCTTTGGGTGGAGACAGCTGGGTAGCCAGGACAGACTTCCCACTCAGCGGGTTGACAGTCACCAGGGAAAACAAGGCCGTCTTCTTCCTCTCCTCTTCCTTCCCTTCGTCTGAAAACATTTCATCTTTTGCTTTGGCCTCTGTCTCTTCTTCTTCCAGAGAGCTGAGGAACTGGTGCTGCAGCAGGACAAATAACACTCCCTGTGCACAAACATACACATTCACAACAGCACACAGAAGTCAGACAGCGGTCTGAGGAGCGAGGCACCAATGGCGGCATAGGCATTTGTATGACAACAGTTGTAGTAATGTTAGCACTAGTAGTAGTCTTCAATGCAAAGTCAACACACTCACACAGTAGGAGTATCCTCTGAGGCAGGCCGTGTGTGATAAGTCATCTCCGAGGATGATCTTCTGCAGCAGCTGTCCAGTCTTCAAATTCCTGCACCACAGAAAAAAAATACATTCAAAAGTAAAGTTTTCCAGGCAAAGAAAATCTGAAAACATTCTGCAGACTTCCAGAAAGTCTGCTTAAGGTCCCTGTAGATCTGATATTTTGTACATGTGGACAGTCTTCAAGTCTCACAGACTTCTCAGGAACTCACTGGAATAAATTACAGCCTCAGTCAGTCAGTCAATGTGTGATCCTACCTGCTGTGTACAAAAAAGAACCCAGAGGAAAACTCAGCAATCGGCGTGACAGTGACTTAGATCCATCCCAGCATTGCTTACCAGATGAAGAGGTGTCCACACTCATCTGTACCGATCAAAGCGTCAAAAAGTTCTTCCACTGGAGCGAGGGCCCCGATGCAAACACCAGGAGACACAAGAGGCTGAGAGCCTGGCATGCTGAGACAGAAATGAGACAATGAGACACCTGGTAAAATAGCTGAGAGAGGATAACTGTGGCACCAGTGCTGTTACCTGTTGCTGTCAGACAGGTAAAACACCTTCATGGTGGAACCTATTGCTGAGTGGGAGGAGGTAACCACTCTGGACTTGGACACACTTACAACAGCCTGGACGCCCCCTTCATATAGCAACACTTGCAAGAAGCTGGAGCATGACAGCATCCTGTGCACAAGGACAACACACACACACACACACACACACAATAACAGATGAGTCTAAATTCTGAACACACTGAAGATCAGTAAACTTTAACAGGTGGTTCCTCTAGGCACAGTGAACACTATGTCCACTGACATTTAACCAGAGTTTAACACATGGCTTAATTCCTGTGCAGACAACTGCCTCAAAAATGTTAAAAAAGTTGTATAGTCACCTCACTTCACTGATTTCCAGCTGTCCCAGAGTCACACAAAGCAGCCCAGCAGCATCTGGGACAGGAAACACATTGATCACTGGCTGTAAAAATAAAAACACAACATTAAATCATATAAAACAGACTGACATTGCAGATGCTTTACAGATGCTACCCTGTGCAGTTTTGTTGTAAACAAAAAGTAGTTCAGTTTACATTCACTCTTTCTCACCAAACACTATACTGTGGTTCCTTGGACCTAATAAAGAAACTCAACTGTGGAAGAACCTGAACCCTGCATTGTTTACATCCATGTTTACTTGCCAGCAGTTTTCTCCACTGTCTTTACTGCCATCTTTACCACCTCCAACTGTCTATCAGCAGAAGAGCACAACACCATTGGCAGGACTGTGCATAAGATTTGCCACATGCATGAGATTCAAACAAAAACCTGATAGTTCATAAAATAATTCTCCACAGCATGACTGGTGGTCAAACAATCCACTGGGTACCTGTAAGACATACACAAAACACTCACCTTGTTGAAGCTCCAGCTGTGTATTAAGCTCCAATCGTTTGCTGAAACCTGACTCCACAGACACACGGCCCATTTTCCCGCTGCTGCTACATATAAACCACCTGAGTGTCCGGCCAGACAGCATGCATCCACCAGACAGTCTCCTGCTGGGGCCTGAACACACACAAGCAACAATTCACTCCAAAAACATGTTAAATTTGTTACCATGTCATCAAAAAAGAATTAGTCTTTAAACCAAAACAACACCCCAAAGCCAGGCATTAATTCTTAATTGTAAGACATGTAGAACATTTTACCTTTAACGTGTGTATGCATCTCAGCATGTGTTTCTTTGTAGTCTCTTCCGTTCTTGGCCCTAACAACCTACCAGAGCCCTGCGCCTGGATGCTGGAGACAGTCGGACAAGTAGCCATTTGAACCCTGTAACACTGATCAGTTATATCTGGTGGCTGTAATGAAGCCTGGTTCTGACTGGAGGGGGAGTCAGGAGGCTGGCTAGTAGGCAGGGGCATAAAGGATGGACAGGGAGAGAGAGCCTGAGGGGAGAGGGCCTGGGTGGATGGACTGTGTGCAGGAGGCAGGGTGCAACGAGGCGAAGTGGAGGAGGAAGTCGCGGGGGTAACAGGCGTGACTCCTAGGGAGGGTAGTGTAGGGCTGGAGGGGAGAGCAGAGGAGAGCAGGTGTGGGGTTAGGAAGGGGCAGGGTGCTGAAGCCACAGGAGGGCTCAACAGGAGCTGAGAGGGGACAATGTGGTGTAGAACACACTTCTCCTGAGTTTTGTTTTCTGCTGATTTGTCTATGGGGGGGCTGTGGGTGGGTTTGCAAGGTCCCTTTGAATCTTTGGCAGGAGATTTCACATTGTAGCTGTTAGAAGGTTCATCAGGTGTTTGCTCTAGAGGGCAATCAATGATGACAGTGTTGTGCTCTCTCAGATTTTCCAAAGGATGGACAACATCAGCACAGTCTGGTTGTTTTTCTAATGCAGGCTGTTTTATTTTAAGGTAATCTGACTGTCCAGTGACAGAATCATTCACTTTGCCTGCTGGTCTGTCTACAAAGTTCAAACAAGCTTTAACGGGATGGTCTACAGATGTGTGTGTGCTGCTTGCTGAGAGGCCACTCTCGTTATGACTGTTCAAAGTCACAGTTTCATGCTCTTTATATTGACTGACACAATCGGCAGCACAATCTTCAACCAATGACACAGATTCTGCTGAGCTGGTGAGAGTCTTTGCTTGGAGGTTTTCAGTCTGCTGCCCTCCAGGGGTTTCTGTGGTATCTTGGTCAGATGTCCCTTCAACTAATGACTGACTTGCATGCTTGTCATCTATAAACAAGTTCTGGACACCTGCAGATTGTGTAGTAGATGGTTTTTCTACAGTGAAATCTGTGGGTGTGAGGCTGAGCAGTAGAGGAAATGGTATCAAAGCATCGTTGCTGCTGGTCCAGCATATGTTAGAGCGGCGGGTGCTGCTGCGCGTGTTGTAAGACGGTGATGTGAACTGTTCTACTCCTAATTCCACAGTGATTTGGCGAAGTTTCAGCAGTTTCAGCAAAGCAAACTGGTCATCAGGAAGATAGAAATCTTGGTGGATGTCCAAGTTCCTTAGGTTGCTGACCAGTAGGCCAGGGGGCTGAAATCTGAGAGGACAAAGAGAAGTCTGGGCAGGAGAGGAGGGCAAGAGGAGAGACTGCCAACTCGCTGTGCCTGTAGGACACAAAGTGAACAAGGACAAGAGATGATCAGACAGGTAATGCACTTAAACTGGAGCACCCACTTTATGCACTTACAATTAACGTAAAGCAAAATTTCAATACTATCAAGAAAAACCTGCAGAATTCTCTCTTCATTGTCTTTTCTAACACTGATATGCGCATATACCAAGTCAACAAACAAGACTTACCTATGCTTCTCTGGGAGGATCTTTTAGTCTCAGTACTGCTCTTCACAAAGATGGGACAGACCTTCTCCAGATGGCCAGATCCAGAGTTGTCCTGAGCCCCATTAATCCCAGAGGAAGGCTGGGTAGCTGTGATGTACACAGGTGCAGGCTCAGGCTTGTGTGTCACTGGAACATCCTCCTGTGAAACCAGAGAGGGCTTTGATCCATGAGCTACACGGAGAGATGGGGAGGAAGAGACCAGGGTGCTGGTAGCCTGGGAACAATCTGAAGTGTGTCCGAGGTCTAAATTTAAAGAGGATCGTGGGATCTGAGGTCTCCCTCTGCCTCTACCTCTCTTCCTCCTCCTGCCTCTCCCCGGACGAGTAGCACAGACTGTAGGGGATGAAAAGGCATCTGTATTGGTCTGACTAGGACAGGCATGTTCTGAAATCTCACTGGAGCTTTGATTGTTGCCCGACGGCTCAGAAGATGCACCAGCAGCCTGCATATGTGACAATTTGTGAGGATCTACAGATGCAGGGTTCTGAGATGATGAATATGTCTGAGTGTGTTGAGCTGAACAATCACTGCTGTGGGTGTTTCTATTCAAACCTCTGCCGCGACTGTGGCCTCGGCTCCTGCGACGTTGCTTCATGCTCAGCTGAGAGTTTATGATGGCCTGCAGGTCAGGCTGACTCTGTGAAGCTGTCATACGTCTTGTGGTTCGCACATAGTATTCTGCTGGAAAAAGTAGTCCCTCCTGTTTCTTCTTCTTTTATGTCTGTGGTATTATCATGCGTTTGTTCATTTTCTATTTTCTCTGCTGCAGTTTTTTCAGTGTCTTTATTACTGTTCTCCTCACAAGGCCTTATTTCACTTTCTCTCATACTTTTTCCATCCTCTCCTCCCTCTGTCTCCTTTCTTCCTCCACTCGATGTGCAGTCTTGTCTGCTTTCTTCAGTGTGTACAGAGGCTGACTGTGATTCTTTTTTCCCGTCAGCTCTTGACTTGCTCTCTTTTTCTGTATGTCCTTGGTATGCTTGCATCTCTTTTCCCTCCATATCTACTCTTTCACTGTTTGCATGTGTGCTCCAGTGTGTAAGCAGCAGAGAGGGAGACTCAGATTCTGAAGCTGAAAGTACCTCTTCACTTTCATTCACAACATCTGTTTCCTTTGACTTGACCTTCTCCTCCTCTCGTTCTAGTCTAGTGGGCTCCATTCTTTCACTTCCCTCCTGGCCTTCTTCACTATTGCCTGTGATTCTACCAGCCTCAGCATTCCTCCTTTCCCAACGCTGGCGGCTGCGCCGAGACCTGAGACGCATGGCAGGACTGGATCTCTGACCTCCAGCTACGTCATGGCTGGGATCTGGGGTCTGTGGGCAAGCAGCATCAGAAGGGAGCTGGAACCTGATCACCTGGCTCATTTTGGAGCTATGACAATCTGGTAAAACATTTTTATTTTTTATTTTAATTTGCACTGATATTACAGGCAAAACACTGCCTGTTTCTATCTTCAATCATATTACAAAATGTCTTCTGTTTTTAGGACGGACAGGTTTGGAAACAATTTATATGTCAAAATGGCAAAAGATAGAGGAAGAAAAAAGTGACAAACATACAAGTGCGTACATGACATGACACCAGATTATTTTAAGCAAATCTTCAGAAACTACCTTATCTTCTTCCTTTTAGGATTATTTGACATTATTTCCCTCTACTCTTTGCACAATCTATATATTCCCTGCAGCTCTCACCCCTGCTAACAAGAAAAAGCATTAAAAACTTCTATCTCTAGCATCAGTCACCAGAACCTACTCATCAACAATGAACAACTATAAAATAAAGGAAAGAGTCTTTTTTTAAAAATTATTACATACCATATTTTACACTTCTGGCAAAGACACCTATTTCCTGTAACGGTTGTTGGTATTTACGACACACATTTCTATATTCTCTGCAGTTATGTACTATGGAAGAGATTAACTACAAATACTTTGCTTTCCCTTCAGTGTGTCTTTGGGACTGACCTACATCCGGGGCTGTACTGGTGGAGTTCAGTGTCAATGAAGATGGGTTAAGACAGGGGTTACAAGTCACATCTGGGTCTCTCTGGTCCTGGTGGTTCTGCTGAGTGATCCTACTCCTCACATGTCCCCGCACTGCGTGCAAACGCTCAGCATGCTGTGAACAGATCAACACATGTATGACACAGATTTTCAACATTTTTTTTACAAGCTAAGTGAAACAGTATCTGTCTTACCTCTAGTCTCTGGGCTGTCCTGTCATATTTCCTTTGTAACTTTCCCAACATCCTACGAAGCTGAGTAGGAAAATATAATATTAATATGTGAGAGGATGAGATAGCACTTCTGTGGCTCAAGTATGTAGACAAATGTAAACAGTGATGAAAATACTTTTACATCACTAAAAATTCAGAGGTAGTTTACTTGGGTATTTACATTTTGTGCCATGTTATGCTTCAGGAGAGAAACATTGTACAATGGAGACTAATAATACAAAACATAACTAACATCTATATTGTGATGTTTTATTATAAATTAAAATGAAACTTTACGGATCCTCAAGGTGGAATTCACGAACTCCCCAACTGTATTTGAAGTGATTGAAGTGGTCTCCACCTTTATCGACTGCCTTTACCACATTTACCTTGGTAACATTCGGAATGCATTACATTTCATTGTAACAGTATTGCTAGTCCTGCTTTTACTAAAGTAGCGTTAAAAGTATGTCTCCCACCACTGAATGTTAATTACCTTCTCCGTGTCATCACAGTACAGTGTAGTCCTCAGCCCTTCCTCACAGTGCAGGTTAGCTGCCACACTGTTCTCCATCCTGCTCACTCAGCCCTGACACATGAACCTTAAATGTAGCTATAGCATAGCTAATTAGATATTAGTTTAGCTGGAATAGAGAACCTATGCATATTTCCCCAAAACACACTATCTTGACTGTTACCTTAACTTGAGGACAAACTGAAACGTTACAGTTCGAAAGTAACGTAAGATCTTCTAAAATTAGAAACCGAAAGATTAGCTAACGTAACTCGACAGCAAATGTTAATTCTGTATACACAAAAATTTACCGAACTGACATTTAATGTAGGTAGTTAATGTGAATGTTAAGGCAAACTTAATGACGAGCCTGTTATGTTGTCCGTGGAAAGTCTATTTTGATGTTCGATCGCACGGTCATCGATTTAGTTTTAATTTCCCGCGACTCCTCAAACAGGCTCGAGCAGTGGAACTCGGATGGCTCGATTAGTCAGAGCGCAGGAGGAGATGAAGAGCAGTCGTTACTGACTTAAACAGCTAACTGCATGGACGTTTACTTCCATATTCTCTACAAAGCCTTTTACAAATTTTACAAATTTCTGTTATTAATTCAGGATAAGACCCCAAACCTCCCAAATAATAGCAACCTGCAGTTATTGTGGCAGCTACCTCCTTAACCCTCAGATGTCACTGTTATTATTATTATTATTTGTTTATGTTTTACTGGAAAGCACCTTGTAACGCAGGTTTAGAAAGGTGCTATATAAATAAACTTTGCTTGCTTGCTTGCACAGTATTTAGTTAACATAAGATGTTATTAAGGATAGGATATTTAAAGAATAGTGTATATGAAGTAACAAGGAAACAGTTGGATATTTTAGATAACCACTTTTTTTGATATAACTTTCTAAGCACCGCCTCCCTTCGCATAGCCAGCCATTTTGTATGGAGTTCACCCAAGAAACAAGCCCAGTCAGAAAAGTGCTGCTTGTGTTGTCACCGTGAGGTATCCACAGCCAGGCAGCTTGTTAACACTGCTGGGTTGCCACTGCCTGTTTTAACTTTTAACGTTTCCTAACTGTGCATATGACAAACACTTTTGACTTTACCTTCTGACAAATCTCATGTTTGCATTTTCTGTGTTAAAAATTATTGTCTCATTGCTGTGAACTTTTTAGGATTAAATGTGCATTTCTGAAATTTGTGTATATATAATCAGTTTTATTATTCAACATCTAGTCAACATTTAATAATTATGCATCCCGTGATATAATTGTATGCATAAAACAGCTCAACCAAACCTTATTCCTTTCTGTGTTTGCAGCTTCTTCTCCCCTGGTTATTATCTTACATACTAGAATGGATTTGCACAAGCTTTGTTTGCAGTTCCTATAAATTCATTGCTTGCATCACTTCTTCTCAGTCTTATAAAAGCAAAATTAACCTGCTGGATTTTTGAAGGAACTTTTGTCACTTATCAGAAAAAGACATGAGCTTATAAAGCAAAACAATGTGCACTGTAATTGGTGCTAAAGAGAAGAACCCTGAACAACAACTTTTGACCCCAGAATCTGAAACACTGACCTCGTGCGGTTTTCTAATCACACATGTCGTCTGTCTCGGCAGATTTAATCTCCCATCTTCTTTCAGCCTTTGTATGGTAATGAAAATGAATTGCACACTGACTTACCTGCACATTTCTCCTCAAACATACATTGTGCTGTACAGTAATTAGCAGGAGTATTATTACAAATGTTCACATTGCACAGGGGCATCTATCTGAGAGATCACAGATGTGGCACGAAACTGATCCAGAGCCTGTTAACGTTCAGCTTGCTTCTTCTTTTTCTTCAGTCAAGAACTTACTGATATATAACACTACTCTGTCCTCTAGTGCCCTCAGACTGTCTCCCACTGTAACAACACAGCCAAATTTCAGACACCTTCTAAAGGTTCCCCATAAATGACCAGAATACATTTTTAAAGTGTTGTGAATGATTGGTTAAAAATGTGTCATGACAAATCACCCAGATTATAAAGCTATATTTTATATGTCCACAACTTTAATAGTTCTATTTAGATGACTTGAGAGTTCCCAGTTGTATAGATATTTCATCTGAATCTGAAATACAGACAGAATGCAGCGGGGATTTAAGAACATCCTACACATATGATTGCCAAGTTGCATGTTTACAGTGTTACTTTAAGCAGGAAATATTGTGCAATGTTGCTCAGAATGTTAAATCATTA